CGGCATCGCCCTGCACCCCGACAAGCAGCCCCCAGCCCCGCGCCGCTGCGACACCAACCATAAAGGTAAGGAGAAAAAAAGAGGCTTTTTGGGGTTCCCCCCACCTATTTTGGGGGGTACTCCTCTTAATTACCCCCCTGTTTTAATTAGCTGCAGGGTCGTGTAACGAATCGGAGAGTAACGACGAGTCCATCCCTGAGCTGGAGGAACCTGAGGGCTCGGAGCCGCCGCAGGCCCAAACCCAGGTGGGGCAATTTTAGGGGGGTTATGGGGGTCCCTACCCCAAAAATGGTGGGATTTGGGGCTGCCCTGACCCCCCTTTTCTCCCCAATTTTAGCAGGCACAGCTCAGCCACTCGCTGGGCACCGGGGAGGAGACGGTCAGCAAGGCCAAGCAGAGCCGGAGCGAGAAGAAGGCCAGGAAGGTGAAATTTGGGGTCCCTGGGGGGAATTTGGGGGTGTCCCATGGGGTTTTGGTGGTCCCTGGGGGGCATTTGGGGTCCCTCATGGTTGACCCCCCTTTTCTCCCCAATTTTAGCAGGCACAGCTCAGCCACTCGCTGGGCACCGGGGAGGAGACGGTCAGCAAGGCCAAGCAGAGCCGGAGCGAGAAGAAGGCCAGGAAGGTGAAATTTGGGGTCCCTGGGGGGAATTTGGGGGTGTCCCATGGGGTTTTGGTGGTCCCTGGGGGTCATTTGGGGTCCCTCATGGTGGTTGGAGGTCCCTGGGGGGGATTTATGGTCCCCAATGGATTTCTGGGACCCTGGGTGGGATTTGGAGTCCCTAATGGAGTTGGGCATCCCCAGGTAGCATTTGGGGTCCCCTATGGGGTTGGGGGTCCCTGGGAGGGATTTGGGGTCCCCTATGGGGATTTTGAGTCCCTAGGTGGGATTTGGGATCTCAAATGGAGTTGGGGGACCCTGGGGGGTAAATGTGGTCCCCCATGGGGTTGGGGGATGCTACGTAGAATTTGGGGACCCCAATGGAGTTGAGGGGTCCCCTATTGGGGTTTGGGATCCTTAGGTGGGATTTAGGGTCCCCTATGAGGTTGGGGGTCCATAGGGGGGATTTGTGGTCCCCAATGGATTTTGGGGACCCTGAGTGGGATTTGAGGTTCCCAATGGACTTCAAGGACCCTGGGTGGCATTTGGGGTCTCCAATGGAGTTTGGGAAACTTGAGTGGGATTTGGGGTCCCCAATGGAGTTTGGGGACACTGGGTGGGATCTGGGGTCCCTGGTGGGGATTTGGGTTCCCCAATGGAGTTGGGAGTCCCTGAGTGAGATTTGCTGTTCCTCATAGTGGTTGAAGGTCCCTAGGTGGGATTTGGGGACCCCAATGAAGTTGGGGGTCCCTATAGGGTTTTGGGGGTCCCTGGGGGGCATTTGGGGTCCCTAGGTGACATCTGAGCTCCCTAATGGAGTTGGGGGACCATGAGTGGGATTTGAGGTCCCTCATGTGGTTGGGGGTCTTTGGGTGGGGTTTGAGGTCCCTATGGGGTTTTGGGGGTCCCTGGGGGGCATTTGTGGTTCCTTGTGATGGTTGGAGGTCCCGGGGGGGGCGATTTGTGGTCCCCAATGGAGTCTGGGGACCCTGAGTGAGATCTGGGGTTCCCCATGTGGTTGGGGGACCCAGGGTGACATTTGGGGTCCCCAGTGGATTTCAGGGTCCCTGGGTGGGGTTTGGGGTCTGTCATGGGGGTTGAGGGACCCTGGAGAGGATTTGGGGTCCCCCATGGGGTTGGGGGATGCTAGGCAGGATTTGGGGACCCCAATGGAGTTGGGGAGTGCCCCATTGGGGTTTGGGATTCTTAGGTGGGATTTGGGGTCCTCTATGAGGTTGGGGGTCAATAGGGATGATTTGGGGTCCCCCATGTCATTTGGGGTCCATGAGGGAAATTTTGGGGTCCCCCATGAAGTTGGAAGTTCCTGGATGAGATTTGGGGTCCCAAATGGAGTTGGGGGACCCTGGGTGGGGTTTGGGGTCCCTTATGGGGGTTTGGGGTCCCTGGGGGGGATTTGAAGTCCCCTATGGGGCTTTGGGACCCTGAGTGGGATTTGGGGTCCCTCATGATGGTTGGAGGACCCTGGGTGGGATTTGGGGTCCCTAATGGAGCTGGAGATCCCTAGGTGGGATTTGGGGTCCCCCATGGGGTTTCAGGTCACCCATGGAGTTGGGGGTCCCTAGGTGGGGTTTGGAGTCCCCCATGGGGGTTTGGAGTCCCTAGGTGGGAATTGGGATCCCTAATGGAGTTGGGGGTCCCTGGGTGAGTTTTGGGGTTGCCCATAAGGTTGGGGTCCCCATCCCTTCCCAGGGTCTTGGGTGGGGAGTAAAATGGACTGGAAGGGGGCGGATTAGCACTGGGTAGGGGTGTTTGGGGACAGGTCCCTGTTTTGGGGGAAAGGTCTCTGGGTCATACTGGGTTTGGGGGGTCCCCCATATGGGGGACAACATCACCCCTCATTGAGGGGTTGGTTTTCCCATTATCCCATGGTTTGGGGGTGCAAGATGGGATGTTGGGGGGCAGGTCCTTGTGTGTGTGGGGGGGTCCTCCAGGTCATACTGGGGTGGGCTGTGGGGTCCCCAATAATGAGGGCACAGGGGACATTGTCTTTCATCCCCGGTTTCGCTGTTACCCAGGGGGTTTGGGGGTGGAAAAGGGGGAGCTTGCTGGGCAGGGGGACATGGGGGTCACCCCTATGTCCCCCCCAGGCCATGTCCAAGCTGGGGCTGCGCCAGATCCACGGCGTCACCCGCATCACCATCCGCAAGTCCAAGAACATCCTCTTCGTCATCACCAAACCCGACGTCTTCAAGAGCCCCGCGTCCGACATCTACATCGTTTTCGGAGAAGCCAAGGTTTGGGGAGGGACACCAAAGGGGTCCAGGGGGGTGGTGGTGGCCCTTGGGGACGTGTGTGTGACCCCTGTTGTCCCCGCAGATTGAGGATTTGTCCCAACAAGTGCACAAAGCGGCGGCTGAGAAGTTCAAGGTGCCCATGGAGCACTCGCCCCTCATCACCGAAACGGCGCCCGCCCTCACCATTAAGGAGGAGAGCGAGGAAGAGGAGGAGGTGGGTGCTGAGGGGGATGGAAAGAGACCCCCCCCTATGTCCTAGGGACATTTGGGGGGTGACAGCGATGTCCCCTCCCACTGCAGGTGGATGAGACAGGGCTGGAGGTGCGGGACATCGAGCTGGTGATGGCCCAGGCCAACGTCTCGCGGCCCAAAGCCGTGCGGGCGCTACGGCACAACAACAACGACATCGTCAACGCCATCATGGTGAGTCTGGGGGGGGAAAGGGCTGGAAATTGGGGTACCCCCCTGTCTCTCTCAGCATAAACTGGAGGTACAGACCCCCAGGGTGCTTCAAACCCCACTTTGGGATGCTGTAACCCCACTTTGGGTGCTGCAAACCCCCCCAGGATGCTCCAAACCCCCTTCTGAGGTGCTCCAAACCCCCTTGGGGTGCTTCAGATGCCAAAAGGATGCTGTAAACCCGCCCCCTTTGGGTGCTTCAGACTCCCCAGGGATGCTGCAACCCCCCTTTGGATGCTGTAGCTCCATTGGGGCGCTATAAGCACCCCCTTTTTGGGTGCTCCAAACCCCCCCAGGATGCTGTAATCAGCTCTTGGGTGCTGCAAACTCCCGCTTTGGGATGCTGTATCCCCTCTTTGGGTGCTTCAAACCCCCCTAGGATGCTGTATCCCCTCTTTGGGTGCTTCAAACCCCCCCAGGATGCTGTAATCAGCTTTGGGGTGCTGCAAACTCTCGCTTTGGGATGCTGTATCCCCTCTTTGGGTGCTTCAAACCCCCCTAGGATGCTGTATCCCCTCTTTGGGTGCTTCAAACCCCCCTAGGATGCTGCATCCCCTTTTTGGGTGCTTCAAACCCCCCCAGGATGCTGTATCCCCTCTTCGGGTGCTTCAAACCCCCTCAGGATGCTGTAATCAGCTTTGGGGTGCTGCAAACCCCCCCAGGATGCTGTAACCCCCTTCTGGGGTGCTCCAAACCCCCTTGGGGTGCTTCAGATGCCAAAAGGATGCTGTAAAAACCCCCCCCTTTTGGGTGCTTCAGACCCCCCAGGGATGCTGCAACTCCCCCTTTGGGTGCTTCTAACCCCCCTTTGGAGGCTGTAGCTCCTTTGGGGTGCTGCAAGCACCCCCTTTTTGGGTGCTTCAAACCCCCTCAGGATGCTGTAATCAGCTTTGGGGTGCTGCAAACCCCCTCAGGATGCTGTAACCACCTTTTGGGGTGCTTAAAACTCCCCTTTGGGGTGCTGTAACCCCTCTTTGGGTGCTTCAAACCCCACTTTGGGTGCTGCAACCCCCCTCCGGAGTGATTCAACCCCAGTTTGGGGTGCTGTAACACCCTCTTTGGGTCCTGCAAACCCCTCCAGGATGCTGTAATCAACTTTTGGGTGCTGCAACCCCCTCCTTTGGGGTGCTGTGAACCCCCCAAGGATGCTGTAACCCACCCTTTGTGTGCTTCAAACCCCAATTTGGGTGCTTCAACCCCCCCGGATGCTTCAAACCCCCACATTTGGGTGCTTCAAACCCCTCCCAGATGCTGTAACCCCCACTTTGGGTGCTGTAACCCCCACTTTGGGTGCTGTAACCCCCACTTTGGGTGCTGCAAACCACCCCAGGATGCTGTAACTCCCTTTTGGGGTGCTGCAACGCCACCCCTTTGGGTGCTTCAAACTCCCTGAGGATGCTGTAACCTCTTTTTGGGTGCTGCAAAGCCCCCCAGGATGCCTCAAACCCCCCATTTGGGGTGCTGCAACACCCCTCAGGATGCTGTACCCCCCTTTTAGGGTCCTGTAAACCCCCCCAGGATGCTGCAGTCCCCATTTGGGATGCTGCAGTCCCCATTTGGGATGCTGCAGTCCCCATTTGGGATGCTGCAGTCCCCATTTGGGATGCTGCAGTCCCCATTTGGGATGCTGCAGTCCCCATTTGGGATGCTGCAAACCCCCCCAGGATGCTGTAACCCCCCTTCTGGGTGCTGTAAGGGTCCCTAACTCTGCTCTCTCCCCCCGCAGGAGCTGACCATGTAGCAGCCGGGGGTGTCCCGGCCCCCCAACCCTGTATAGATGCACAGTTTACACCCCCCCCCTTCGCCGCCATCCTTCCTCCAGCGCTCCCCATCCTCCTCCTCCTCCTCCTCTGTATTGCTCAATAAACGGCCTCACGCATCACTTGGATCGCACGCTGCCTCCACGGTGATTTCGGGGCTCCCCCCTCACCCCTAAATCTGTGGGAGGTGTTTGTATGGGATGGGGGGCACCCCCCATTTCCAGTAATGGGCTGGGGGGGGAAGCAGGGGTTGTAACTGGGTTGGGGTCACGGGCTGTGGGACCTTTTTCCCTCGATTTGGTGACATTGAGGGGGGCAGAGTCCCAAAATCATCAGGGTTTTGCCCCCCCCGTTAATTTGGAGGGGTTTAATGAAGCTGGACGAGTGGGTTACATGGGGTGCAGGGTTATATTGACCTGCAAAATGCTCTGGACAGAAAATGCACATTAATGTGACTCCCCCTTGTCCCCCTTGGTGTCACTGAGGGGAAACTGAGGCAGCAAAACCCCCTCAAAAGGCCCCAGTGTGGCGTTATTTCCAAATTTAAGCCCCATTATTTAAAAAACCACCACCATACGTGTCTGTTTTACAGCTCTTTGTATAGAACAGTGACAAAAATGGGGCTATTTTGCCCCAAAGTTCAGTCTTTAATGACTCAAACATCCAATTATTTTGGGTTTTAATTGGTAAATCGTTAAAAAAAGGCACTAAAAAACCACCCCGGTGCTCCCAGTTCAGAGCTGCTGCCTCCCAGTTTATGCAGGAGGGAAATCCCAGTCCCCAAATCCTGGTCCCCAAATCTTGAGGACTCCCCCTGGAGCCGCTGCTCCCCTTTGGGGTCCCCCCTTTCTGCTCTCCCAGTTGATATCGGCCTCCAAACTGGGAGGACTGGGGGAGGAAGGTGCTGTCCCTGGGCCCCAGGGAGGACCCAAAATTGAGGGGAAAGAGGTTTTGGGGGTCATGGGGACCCCCCCAAGGAGCACAAGGGGGTCAAATCCCCCCCCAAAACCAGCGTGGGATGGGATCGTACCCAGGGAAGGGCAGGTAAGAAACAGCCTCACACCAGTAAGGGTTAACTGGGAGGACTGGGAAGGGTTAAAGGCACTGGGGTGAGGGCTTTGGGGACAAAGAAGGGGAGGTGGGATCCCCCCAAAATTGCTGAGCCTCAAGGCACCCATGTGGTGGCTGTTCAGCCCCCCCTAGAGCACCCCAAAAGTTTCGGGGGGGGCTCCATGACCCTAAAAGAGGCACCCATGGGTGCTGGACACCCTGTGTGTGTGTGTCCCCCTTCCAGCCCCATCTTTCTTCCCAGTTATGGCTCTGGGATAACTGGGGAGCACCCCACCCCAAATCTTAGGTGGCATCTCCCCCCCCGTGGGACCCCCAGAAGGGCCCCTTTGGTTGGGGAGGGGGCTACAGCTTAAAAAAATAAGTGTGGCTTTATAATTGTATAGAAAATATCTACAGCACCCCCCCAAAAATCACCTTCCTGGGGAGGGGGGGACACCCATCCCAGCACTGGCCCCATTTTTTTGGGGGGTTGCATGGGGTAAGTCCTTGTTTTGGGGCAGGGGGGCAATGTCCTGTGCCCATGAGCCAATACGATGGTGTTTGTGGACCCCCAAAATTGCCCCTCCAATGGGGGGAATGGGGCTGGAGCAGCAGGAAGCTGTGGTTGGCGTTGGTGGGGGGAGGCTCGGAGCCGAAATGTTTGGACGACGCTGACGATGGGTTTAAATAATTCACATTGTGGTAAACTTCATTCAAAAAATTAGGGAGGGGAGGAAGAAGAGGAAGGGGAAAGGGGAAGAGGAAGAAGAGAGCAGTTACAACAAGGAAACCATGTGCAAAACTCTAAATCCTGGCCTTGCTTCCCCAAAAAAAAACCAACCCAGGGTTGGGGTCCTTCGCTGGTAACGAGACTGGGAGTTAATTACACCCAATTAGAGCCCCCCAAAACTGTTCCAGGACACAGGCACCGCTGTGGGGGGATGGTGTCCTGTCCCCCTCTCAGGAGGAGTCGCGGTCCATGCTGCAGCCCAGGGCTTCGATGTCGCTGCTGATGTGCGAGATCATGCGGTCCCACTCGTCCTCCTCGGAGGGCCCCGACTGCTCGTCCGAGCTCCCGGCCGCGCCGTTGCCGTTGGTGGTGGAGTTGGAGGTGGTGCTGAGCGTCCGGCGGTACCTCCCGAAACTGTCCGTGATGATGCCGCGGCCGTCCTTCACCCCGATGGTCTCCAGGAAGTTCTCGAAGTGTTGGCTGTCCTTTTCGGGGATGAACGGGCGAAGGCCTGGATGGAGGGGGGAGAAAAAACATTAGGGAACCATTGGGGTGGACTGAATCTGTGGGGGAGGCCAATGGGGTGAGGGTCAACAAGGCCAAGGGCCGG